GGATTGACAGAATAAAATATTGTTGAATATGATAAGGTTTGAGATATGCAATACAACTTACGTATTTGCTTTTGGAAAGATCGTTGCCTAACTACAACGTATCAGTTAATGAAGTTCTATTAATGTTGGTAACTTTAGAACATATAAGTTTTGGACACATAAATAATCGAATGTGGATTATCATAGACTCTTAATTGACTATATATGTTCTAGACATTGAGTATGGGAACATGAGTCTATTGAGAACAAGATGTGTCTCGATGACATACATGTAGTCCAAAAAGGTATTTAAGTGAAATTTTTGGACGGATATCGAGTCACAAGATATGACATTTGACATTTTTCCCAATAAGGGAAAAAAAAGATTGGAGAACATCGTTGAAATTCATATTATATGTATTGATAAATCAATTTTGAATATATAAGAAATGATTTAAACTTCTGATTCAAGTGGAAGTAATCTATTTCCGAGTTGGACTTATCTATCCAGGTGGGAGCCATTTAAGAACTGTCTAATTTTAATGATTCTTGGTTCCAAGTTGGATCTAAGAGCTAGTTCAGAAAATCAGAAGAGAAATTTTGAGAAAAGTGATGGAAGTATATATATGGAGTATAAAATTTCAACCTAATCTGGGAAATGGTGAAAGTTCTATTCAGACATTATGTTTACCGAGAACATTCAGGTTCTTGAAAGTTAAGTGAAAGACTAATGAGTTTCTGATAGATAAAGCTCATTTTTGAAAAAGGTTATACTCAATGTGAGTGTATTGAGTTGGATAAATTTGTTCATAACGATGGGATTCGTTTCTGTACATCAATGCTAGCCGTGATAATATGTTTAAATTTAGAGTTACACCAAATCAACCTAGAGATTGTATTTTTATTCTCAATTGAGAAATGATTAAAGATATCAACATAATCGACTTTTAGATTTTATGTTAAAGGCTTTTTTTGTATAATGGTAACTTTACAGTTACACGCATCGCCAAATACAGTCATCTCGATAGTCGTACTTGAGTTTTTAACAGGGTTAAATCTCGTACAAGAATTTTATCATATGGGCGAAAATTACTATATTTGTGAAAAGGTTTGATGATAGGTTGTAACTCTAACTTTGATATTGATGACATTGAATTGGCTAAGTATGATAAGGAGTGTATAGAGACCATTTTGAAATTGTTGTCCTCAATTTTTGAGAGAAAAGACATGAGTTTAGCAAATTGTATGATTTGTGCTAAGAATACTTTTCGTATGTTCTTACTCTATCATAAGAGTTTTATACCATAAATGTTCGTGTGGGTCTTCATAAATGTCCAAAGATTTCATAAGTACACAAAAAAATATCCAGAGAACCATATGTAGTACGATTAAGAGTTAGGAGATAGAAGCATATTATGATATATACTTGTCCTAACAATGGTCATGCCATGGATCTAATCAGTATGTGTCAATATTATCTTTAAAAATGTATTGTGATATCTGAAAGGTGCTACTGTTAGTTATTCTATTTCGTTGTCAAAGGAATAACTTGTGATTGGAATAGATATACAATTGTTGACTAAGAATAAGAGTTAGTCGAGTATAATTAATTATTTGACTTGTGCACTTTTGCTATATAGAGTAGCAAGAAGTATATGTTGTTATGTATATCTTGGTAGCTAAGGATTGTTTGGTATGGATGTATTGAACATCTAATGATATTGGTTGAGAATATGAGATTCATGATATTTACGCAACTATCTTATATGTTAAGAGATCAAGTATCAAGATGGAACCAAACAATTAATGTAAATTATGTGAGAGACAGTAGCAAAGAAAGTGTCTTTGCAATATATCTACGTAAATGATTATATGAAATCATCATACTCGGAAGATATTTAGAGATATATTTGTTGATAATATGGAATCTCTAGAATTTCGCAGAATGTGATACTTGGTGTATCAGACAAACTCTTGATTGAGTTTTGTGTGCCTATATATGAACAATTTTGAGTTCATGTGTAATCTAATGATGGGACTACAAGATAAATGATTTGTATGCACATATAAAGTATGTCGAACGGGTTGAGATTGGCTTACTCACACAAGCAATCGCCTCAGATGTTTTAAGATGTGCTGAGATGAGAGACAGTGATCATGTTGTATACATGATCTAGTCGCCTTGATAGTGATCATTTTATTTACATGATCCAGTCGCTTTGATAAGGTATCAAGATGATATTACAACAAGTAATCGAAATGGATTTCGATATCCATTAAATCTGTTTAATAGTCAGATCGAGTTCTCGGTTTGAGAATCCGGGAAGAATAAACATAAGGAGAACTGAAGTTAGGTATCGAGAAATACTTGAACTAGGATCTGTACGATGTTATTTATTTACAAAGAATATGACATATGCCCTAAGAAATAGAGAAAATATCGTAGCACGTGTTTCATACTATGCGTACTTTTACGACCAATATTGGGTAAATAAGTGAATGGATCCCTACTTTCTCATTGTGTGAAACCCTGAGGTTTATGTAACCTCATATATACTCTTATGACTTTTAACTGTTTCTTGAGGTTTCATTTCAGTGTTGCTACTTTAGCATGTTGCCAATGACTATGATTGATTCGGTTTAATGAGACATGTCTAGGAAAGCAGCTGACTTAAAATCGAAATATTCAAGTAGGAAAAGAAAACTATTTTAACCAATATTTATATTTGTATTCACCGGCCAAACAATTGTGTTTAACCATTTGGGGTATAGAATGTAATTGTGAATACAATGATATAATGGGGGGTTCAGGTATGTTCCACAAATACTCGAGGGATCAGAAATGCTTAAATTAATGTTGGAAAATGAGTTTGGGGTATAGCGAGATGTGATATTCCTCCTCTAGTAGAGCTACTATATATCCTTAACAGGTTTATAGTACCGTGAGCTCTAATATTACTCATTGGTCGTACGATCTATTTGCCGTATAAATCTTTGTGAGATAGATCTTGAGAAGGATCTAAGGTGTGACATTTGTTGTCACTTGTGGTTAGGATTAACCCCATTATGTGCGAGTGGGAGATATTGAAAAATACGGATAATGGGTCGCCCATGTGGGATGACCCGACCAATAGGATTTTATAAGGGTTGAAGGGAGTGGTTTAAATTTAGAATTCAAATCTATAACTCCCAAGTAACCACTTGAAACTTCTAGATAGAAGTTGTGGAAAAATGAATAAGAAGGTGGTATGAAAAATATAATGAAAAAATTCACATGTAAATTCACACCAAAATTGAAAAGCCCCTAAAACCACATTTTTGGCATGTAGTTTCACAAGAAATGACACTTAGATTGTGGATAATAATCCTCTTCCATTGTGATCGAATTTTGGACCATTGGAGTACAAGAAAATGCAAATTCTAGAGATTTGAAGGCAATGTGATTCAATCACACAAAGATCTTGAAATTCATCTTTTCTAGTAAGTTTGTTGACCCAAAATTCATGTCAAAGCATGCTACGATTTTTCCTTCAGTGCATATTTAATAATTCATATTAACAACAAACATTTCTAGTAGCTCAATTGGTTAGTCCTTTCACTATGAAATTGGAGGTCCTGTTTTCGAAATTCTTCAAAAACAATATTTTTTATGATTTTCGTATTTCAACAATTTTTTCCAAAACAAATGTAAGGAAGATGAAGGTATTAACCACTTTATCATCACGGCACTTGTTAATTTTTAGCACATAATGTAACAAAATAATATATGTTCAATTTTACTGGTTTAATACAGGTAGAAACATTTTAACGGTGTTTTGTCCCTCTTATTGATTTTCTTTTTCTTTTCTTTCTTTTTTTCACTTTAATCAATTGATTTGAGGGTTTCGTCAATTAATGGTTGATGAATTTGTAGGAAAATTGGCCTTAGTGTTATAAGAAATCTTTCAACAAAATTTATTTAATTAATAAAAGATTCCACTTTTCGTTAACAAAAAATTGATTGTGAAAAAGTGGAATCATACAAGCACATAAAATCGATATAAGCTCATAAATAATTTCAATTTTGTTAATATAAAAATACTTGTTTAATTAACTTTAATTGTAAACTGAATATAGACATTAAGTCAATATATATTGCTTATTTAATTGAAAAATAAATTAAGACATTTTGCAAAATGTGAAATAAATTTTCATCCAAAATGAAAGTTCGTACTTAGTTCTAGTTCTAATCCATACGATTTTTTGAATATTATTTAATTAAATATTAATAAACAATTCCGCTATCACGAACATTAGCCATCGATAGTAAACTTTCAACACTCGCAATCCACCCTAGCTAAACTCGACCCCTGAATTCGCTCTTGTCGTGTACTATCAATTATTTTTTTACTTTTCACTTGTTATAAACAGCAAGCTTGCTAGCCTGCTCAGTTCGTCGACTTGTCCCACTTAGCACCCTAAAAGAGAATCGAGTGAAGATCCAAAAGTTGAAATAAGAAAGATATCTTCACGAAACCATTCTTTCATTTTCTACTTCTAATCTGATAATTAAACAACTTTTTGTTAACGAAACATCTCAGGTCCATTTGGGCCCCATTTTTTCCATTCCCTCCCATTATGTTTTCTATAGTATTTATTTTAAACCACACATTTTTCATTAAAATAATATTAAATGTAAACCAAAAAATTTTCTTCTTTTTTAACCATATATTTCTCATCAATTTACTATTCCATAATTCATTACAAGAAATTAACGGGGGCCTCAATGAATTTATAAGTGATTAAACCAACAAAACTAACATAAAAAACCAACAGACGAATACTTCTTGTTTTGACAACATGCATGTTAACCTTAAACTTGATTTAGAGATGTAAACCGCCGAGCCATTGCCCGATTTACACCGACACTGCTCTTTTAAGATTCTGGGGTAGTGAGTGCACTCAATAAGCTTTTCTCTATACTCCCGAGAGTTAGACGGGAAGGTAGTTCCTTTCAGTTTTCGACCCTAAGGATACAAGAATTCGAAGAAGAAAACTTATCTTCAGCCCGTGATAAAAACTCGCAAGCATTTAAAAACTCGGGACAGTTATGAAGTTTAAAGACAACAACAAAGAGGATGGAACCAAAAGTATTAGCAAAGATTTACAACTAATTAAATTAATGATTCATTGCATCAAGAAAGCCCGATAGAGAAACTATACTAGACAACATGTTCGTTCCAGAATAGAACTAGATCAGCCAAGCTTCAAGCCAAAGTATCTTTGATGATAATATAAAGTAACCAGACCCGTATGTATATTCCGAGCTAACAGAAATCTAGTGGTAATCTCCAAAATGATCAATCGGCTCTTGCCAGACTGTACCTGTAACATGTACGATAAGTATTCATTAGGCAAGAATACGAGTTTGAAAGCGAAACCAAATCATCGACAAAAATTATAAACCGAAATGTATGGAATATAAGTGACATGAGCGCTTGTAAACATGATGTCTCTAATAGCCAGAAAACAAAAACATAAATAAGAACATTAAAAATATTAATGTGAAACCTCTGCAATCAAAGCATTCCAAACTGCACGTAAATGAAAATCAGAATGCAGCTGTCGACTAAATTCGGACAAAGAAACACAGTAAAAAAAAATTGCAAGCGCAATTCTCAGTTAACAACATGCTTTATAACCATTTGACAGGGGGAAAAAAAATATTCACACGTCCCTGACAGCACGAAGTTCATTAGGCATCATGATATTCCATCATCATGCATTAATGCATAGTTCTACAGATATCACTTTGACATAGAATGTAAAATAATGTTTAACTACTTAAGAAGATGGAATAGTTTATGTTTAAATTAATTGAGAAAAACCTTCAATTAAGTAGACTTAAAATGCTAGAATGTATCAGTAGCATGAAAAAAATGATGAACTGTAAAGCTCAAACCAGAATAAGGCTAGGTTAGCAAAGAATGCTTGAGAAACCAAAAACTTGTACTTTTGATGTCTTCAAACATAAATTTACAGATCAAATTCAATATGGTTCCTGCAACTAAAGAAGATTTTGTCCAAACAAGTACTATGGGGTACCAGAACACAAAATTGGTATTACCCTACTTTCCACGAGAGACTTCAAATATTAGAGTTGTAATCACATTTGAAGCCAAATCCAAATCCAAATAGCGTTAAAAAGAGATTTTTGGCAGTTTATTTTTGCAGTTATGTCTAAAATGGTGTGGAGAATATTACTTAGAAGAGACTTTGGATGGGAAAATGGCTTGGAATGAAAAGCATAAATAATTCTATTGTAAAATGACATCCATAGAGATATATGTCAATGAGATTACATGCTCCAATAGATTTTCTAACTAATAATTTTTTGGGGGACAAAAAGAGTTTTGAACCCTGTCAAGAGTTTTATTAAATATAATGCAGGCAGGGATGCAAGTTTTTAAAAACTTTGCAAGCTGCCTGTACCAGATTTTGTTGGAGACTTCGAGCAAATAGTTGGCTGATTATTTTATGTACATAGTCACGGGAGAATTTTATATATATGTTTAGAAACAAATGTAGGTCATTGGATCAAATGAATCCTGACCATACATTCTAGATGGAACGTTTGTAATCTCATGATTTTCAAGTTGTAGGGAGCTATATGTAAACTCAAGCATTTCCCAAACTCTCTTGTGCTCTCTAGCCTTAGTTTTTTTTTTGGCTGTGTTAATGCTTTACGAATACGCTAGTAACAAAGGCTCACTTAGGGCAGAAAACTGTGATATTCAAAATGCTGCATGTTGCTTGAAATTTACAAGTCCGTCACAGTACACTTCAAATAAGTAGACTTAACAAAAATGCGGAGTAAATTAAGATCAACCATAATAACCATGCACTATAATGCTCATTTTAATTTGGCTATAACTGAATTCATAAATAATCTCTGATTTTAATAACAAGACAACCTGGTATAGATATTAAAACTATCATCTCAAGATGGCACCATTCCACGCCAAGCACATTACAAAGAAGAAGAAAAGGCAGAAATGCAAGTTCAAAGCCACACTCCAATAAAACTTACTGCATAAAAATGAAAGTTAAGAGAAACCCCTAAGATTGTGACAGATCAGTTAATAATGGCTGTACACATGATTCCAACATTGTCCAAGAAACAAATGGCAATGCACACATCAGAAATATGCATTCAAAATTCATCAAAAGTGAAGACATGCAATTCGTTAAGATACGACACACTACTGCCAGCAATTAGCACCACTAAATCCAGATTCACAGGCCACCAACATTCACAGGACGTAGTAAAAGTGTACTACATTTACATAGTAATCCCATAATCAGTTAATCACATATATTCGTCAATATAAAAAACCAAATTCTTCATCGACTTTAAGACTTACGATTTCGTGAATTGTTCTTCAAGCGCTTTAGTTTCTGGACCGGGACCTGAGAGTCCATGAAAAGTTTCATTCTTTGAATCTCCAAATCCTTGGCAAACTGCATTCTTTGCTTCTCCAAATCCACCATCTGCTGCTGCTTGGCAACCTCCACTTTCTCGTATATCTCCCCTAACCTTGTTATGGCCTTGGCTAACCTCCTATACCCCTCGCCTACCGACCCATCCCCCTCCTCAATCGGTCTCCTCCTTTTCCTCCCTGCCACGGGCGGCAGCTGCCCGAGCCATGTTTCATTCTCATTCTCGTCCTCTTCCTCCTCTTCATTGGCCTCAACTGCTGCAGCTGCCGCAGCCATTACAGAGAAGTTCCTCTCGGTCAAATTCCCATTCCCTGGCCTTTTTGACCTCGGCCCCACTGGCACCGACCATGGAACCTTCGGTAGAGGACTAATCGAATCTGTCGAACTTTTCCGGTACTGGGTCATTGTAGTGTTCGTCGGCGGTGGCGAGGGAGAAACTTCTGGCGATAGAGAAACTCTCCGACGAAGTTTTTTCTTATGAACATTGCTGGGGATGCTATTAGCCTTCGAGAAGGTATCACCGATGAGGGAATCGAGGCTGTCGAAGTGAGGCCACGTGGAGGCGTACTGGCCTTTGGATTGAACTACCTTAGTCTTCTCGATCTTGTACTTCTTCTTGACGGTGTCAACGCGATTCTTACACTGAACGTCGGTGCGGTGGAGCTTCTTCGTGTGGGCGTGGAGGGCGTTGACGGCATCGGCTACCTCTTGCCAGTGCTTCTGCCGGAGGTTACCACGGTTAAGCTCCAGGTAGTGAGACCCCCATGCCTCAATCAGCGTCTGGGTTGCCTCCTCCGACCAGCAATCCTCCCGGACGGGGAACGACGGGGTCCGGGCAGAGGTGGGACACTCTGATTTCGGAGCCTCCGGTGGAGACTCGGTTTTGGTAGTGACTGGCGGAAGAGGAGATGGAGGCACTCCGTCGTTATCGTCGTCGGTCATGGAATCGGTGGAGTGGTGGAGAAACGGTGAACGGTTGGGGGAGGTGGTGGTGGAGAGCGGCGGCGAAGCGGTGGAGGAACGTGACATGTGGGACACTCGGTAGGCGCGCCGACGAACGGTATTTTTTAAAAAAAAAATTTGGGCTTTGACAAATTTAAACGGGCTTTTGAAAAACAATTTTGTGGAAATTACATAAATACAAGGTTTAAACATCACAATTCAAACATCTGAGCCAGAATTTCATTATGCAACAATCAGGTATTGATTTAATAATTTAAATATTAATTTCTTCCAATTCAATTTCCCAAACCCTAATTTCACGTTTTGTTTTCTCTCTTTACCATCTCCATACTCTGCATTCTCTCGATCATGAAACATCATCGTCTCCATCGTCGGCGACGATTCACGAGGACGACGGTGATCACGACAGAGGCGACGCTCAAAAGCATCCTCACGGGTGGCTATTCTATTGGTTTTCTCTCTCTTCTCCTCTGCTTCGCGACCACGAATAGGGTTACAGTCGATCTAGGTTGGTTACAACTTACAAGCAGTAGTGGTGGATTTAACCGGTGGTGGTGTGTGCACCTGTGTGGTGGTATTACTGTTTGCAGTTTGGTGACGGTAGTGTTGCAAAAATGGTGGTGGCAACGGCGACGATCTTCAACTGTGAATTTGATTTTTGTAGTGGGTGTGGAATAGTTTTAGGGTTTGTGTTGCTAGTGGTAATGGTGCTGGCTGTGGGCGTGAGGTTGCGGTGGTGATGTGTTTGGTTGGCGATGGATTTGGATGGTGTGTTGTGCAATGGCGATGTCTCGTATGGTGGTGGACTCTGTACAGCGTGAATATGGGTGCGGTGGTGGCGTTTGTGGTCGGCTTTCTTGGTCAATGTTTTGTTGGAGGTTGTGGTGGTGTGGTGAAGGATACGGTGGCGGTTTTTGTTGGTGATTTGGTTTAGACGGCGATGGTGTGGTTCAGATGGCAATGGTGGTGGGTTTGGTGGTGAAGTATTTGTGACCATGTACTGAGGTGGATCGAGATCGGTGTTTAGTGTCTGTGACCGACAATTAATCTGTAATCTTGAAATTCGATCATTTTATGACTAAAAAATAATTTGTGACTATCAAATTCAAAAATACGTGACCTGTGACTTATAATATTTTGGATTTATAATTATTTGTGACCTATAGTTGTAACTCGTGACCTATAATTTTTTAGATTTGTGACCAATGACATAAATTGTAACCTATAAAATTAATGAATAAATTGTGATTCGTGACCACGAAATAATCTGTGACTTATCAAAGTTTTGATTAGTGATCTCGAAATAATTTGTGACCAATTAAGTTAAAGATATATGACCAAGAAATAAATCTGTGACCTATAAATGTGTACACGTAATTATTAATTGTATAATTGTAATTTTATTATATTTGATTAATAAATATTTTTAATTAATTAGATAAAAACCTGATTTTTACATTAGTTAAACTTTAAACGTGGTTTTTAAACTGTGCATAGTTAATACATGGTTTATGAATTTTTCCCAACAATTTTTCTAGTTGTAAAAAAGCATAAATGTAAAAAACCAGTATTCTAAAACACGTAATTTGGAGGTCAAGCTATGAGCTACACGAGCTTAGATGAGACTTAGGCATAAATAAGCGTAAAAAATGTGTTTTCTTATTTTAATATTTTTTTAATTTTTAATAAATCAAAAAATTATTTAATAATTAAAAATAATACTTACTAAACATTTAAAACAGATTTATAGGAACGTTATACATTTCTTCAAAGTTTTCAACAAAAATATTAGTTTCAAATTTAAATACAAAATACTAAATAGATAGTAAAGGAATTTAAAACTTATCTAACTCTTTATCGAACTCCAATTCAATATCATCTTTTTCATCTAATTCATCATTCCTGTCTTCCGATACAAGTGGTTTGTTTTAAATTAGGGCAAAATGAAGAAATTAGCCATTGATAATTTTTTTAACAACACAAAATTTTAAAAAAAAAATTAAAAAATTGATGAGAATGCTTACATAATTGCACCTAGGCGCGCTTTAACGATCAGCGGTTACCGTTGACCACTAAATAAGGCGTCAAGCCACTTGACTTGGCTTTTTGGCCAAGCATCACGCCTAGGCAACGTTTAGGCACACCTTGGTGGCAGCCTTTTAGAACATTGCCAAAAATAGTCACATCCAGTCGATCTTTTTTTTTTTTTTTTTTTTTTTTTTTTTTCCTTTTTTTGCTTTTTTTTCATTTTGGTTCCTCTTTTGTGTATGTTAGTCTACTAAGGCATTTAGAATGACTGTTAAATTTTGTGCTGCTAGCAGGCTGGTTCAACTTTGTGTCCAAAAAAGTTTGGAACACACAGACAAACTGTGCAACTCAATGAAATAAAACAAAACCAGTTTTTTTTTTCTTTTTTTTTTTGCCATTCTTTAAGTGGATGTTGCCATGTGTATTCTGTGAAAATTCTAGCAGAGAATTTTTGTACATATAGCACTTCTGTTTAAAAAATTTATTGAATATTTTTCATGGATTTTGTATTTTTGTCCAATCCGGGAACAACATAGGTAGTGGGTTTTCGGAGGGAAGTATGCAAATCGAATTGTATTGTGTTCTTTTAACACTTTAGTAGTAATATATCTAAGGTTTAAAACACATTAATATGTAAGTCACCTTAGTCTTATTGTTCGTTTATTAGTCAAAATGATCATATACATCAAGTTATGTCTCGATCGGATTATCAAGGAGTTTGTAATAAGATCGAATAAATCGTAAATTTACAAGTATTCGTAAAGTGTCAAGTCGGGTCCTTCTCAATATACTTCAATAAGATTCTCCAACTATGAATTTTAAATAATTGTAGAAATATGAAGAGCATTTGGATAATACATGACGAAAATCGATATATCTAATACTACTATCTTCAAAGGGGTAAAAACATGTAACAAAGCCTTCTTAGTAATAGAATGTCTCATACCATAATGGATCTTCAATGACATTGACCAAACTTTCAATAACGTCCTCAATTTGGACGGGGGAACAGTTGTCATCCTATTATGATTCTCAGGAAAAATCTGTTGTACAGAAAAATAATGTACAGAACTCTTACACACATCGACATGGGGTGGACCCTATGTGAATTAAAATATTGCAAAAAATAACCCACCCACCCCTGCATGTGTATTCTATACAACTACTTTAAAGGATTTTTCTGTACATGTAGGGGGTTTGCTCCGAGAAGGATGTTAGTTTAACATTAATCATTAGAGGGTTTCAATTTATTCTTTTCGATGAATTAGATCAAAATCATTTTGTATATTAAAAAGAGGTTGGCCTCTTTGATTCTTGCATGTGCACATTGAATCCATTATCTCCTTTGTCAACAAATTGACACTAACTCAACGAAGTAGTGTCACCTATTACCTCAAGTCCTTGTAAACGCATAAAATTGCACGTGTTCCCCATGAGTGCAATGAAATCATTGTAGTTGGCACCCAATGCCATCTCGGATACTCAACCCATCTCAAAACAATCGAAGTGATATACCATAAAGCAAGCCATTAAGCCTATAAGTGAAACGAATAGATGAGTGCAATTCATGCCGATCTTCCCAATTAAGACATGACTAGGGGAGCTTTGTACGCGTAAATTGAACTAATATTCGAAAATCTCAAACACACGTGACTAGGGAAGCTTTGTGTGCGCAAATTGAACTAATATTCGAAAATCTCAAACACATCATGTGTTCCCTAAAAGTGCATGCCGCAAGTGCATGGATCGCATTCTAGTAATAAAGTTGACCTCTTGAGTTCGGGTTGTCAACCCTCGAGAAATGTATACTTTCGATTACACAACTTTAATTAATTTAATTCTAACAATAAAAATAAACAAACACACAATAAAGATTTAATTTTTGAATATAAGAAAAATTAACTAAACATCTACAAAATAAGAAAATAAAAAAATCTTGAGAGATTTCAGAAGCAAACGTGGTTGGGATTTATGGTTTCACTAAAACTGTCACCTAATTAATTTCTCCACGAGTTAATTAACAAGCTACTCATTTACAATGTTAGACTCGATTTTTCAATTTTAGTCAATTACCCATCTCAAGGGAAATTAACCATAATTGATATGCTTTACCCACAATGTCTCTATGTTGATAAAAACGCAAGCAATTGCATTAAATTGTAGTGAAAAGAACTCAATTGGTTACCTAGGGCTAGGAGCATATTTCTATATCCTAAAACAACCTAGGTATTAATTACTTTGGTCTAGAAAGCAAAAACATCTCTCAATATTGCACAAACCACCTAACACAATCATCTATTCGCCAAACAAATTATGAAAATGTAAACACAATAAAAAAACGCACAAGAACAATGGCACCTTAGCATTAAATGGTAAATATATTGATATTAACGAAACTTACGTTAAGTTACGTCATAAATCCCAACTATAAACCCTTAGCCCATTATCAAATAAGTGTAGAACATGGAGAATGTGATGAAATCCATTACACAATAAAGGAGCTAATGAAAAGCTACAAAATGAAAGAATAAACCCTTCTCTTAAATGTATTCTTGAAGAAAAATGGGGTTGAAATCTTAAATCTTCCCTTGAATTTCAAAATCTTGGTTTTCTCATTTTCCCCTTTCTTCCTTGTCTCATCAAGGTTAGGGTTTATCCAAGATGAAGAATGAATGGTGAGAAAGGGTGAAAGGGGTATTTAAAAAGGATAAAAATTGTCCCAGCCAAATTGCAAGAAGAGCCCCTGAAAAAATTAAAATATACACACAGGTCCTAATTTTCAACCTAAAGCATGTGCCTTAGCCCTTGCTCTCAGTTGTCCAAAATTGGGGCTAAGCCTTGTGCCTTAGCTTTTTTTTCCTTCTCTTCAATTTGGTCCCCAAAGAATTGCACTTCAAGTCCTCCAACTTTGGTTTCATCCAATTTAGTCCTTAATTTTTGAATTCCTTTTCAATCAAGTCCTTCATAATTTGCAACTTGAGTCCTTGAACTTTCTGACTTGCACATTTTAGTCCCCAAAGTCATATTTTTGCCCCTTTTGGGTCTTTTTTTTGCCCTTTAGCCTTCTTCTCTTTCAATTTGAAATTTTAGCCTGCAAACACCATAATTACAC